TTCTAGGTGAAAGACATCAGTATGGGAAATCTACAAAGTAAACCGGTAGCGCGGCCTGTTATCAGTGATGACGACCCAACATTACCACTGAGCAGAAAAATTGCCATTGTTGGAATTGGATGCCGATATGCAAATGGAATCGACAGCGTTAGTAAATTCTGGAAAATGTTGACGGACAAAATCGACTGTACAACACCTCCCACAGAAGATAGGTAAGATTAACCGGTCCACTTACCACCTGTAAGATAGTATTGTAAGGTACACTACAATTGGAGAGTGTACCCATGAACGCGATAAGACACAGCAATCTATTCTTGTTTAATGTTGAAGTATTTTCCCCAAGAATCACATGCTTATTTTGCCGGGTCCAATCCTACAGGGTTGGCTTCATATTGGCGTTGCCGGAATGTTTGGCGATGAGTCAAGCTGACTCCTACTGAAAGTATCTATGGGTTAATATGTTGTGTTCATATTACCCCAACTATATTTATCCAAAACGTAACGACGTGGTCATGGTAAAACCTCCAATACACATAATGAAACAGAATTTGAGTCATGTATTCTCTCGGGCCAAAACAAATCAAAATGTCAAATCGAACAACAACAAAGCCACTAATAAATACACTTACTAACTGGCTATTCCTAATTCAAGACGTGTCCGGATATGTGTTCTGATGATCCAAAACTACCTTGTTCGCGGCGCCGTATTTTACTAAGAATAGTTGCCTACACGATTTCTGCTGTACATTTTCTACGATGGATTATATTACTATCGATATATTGCAGAATTAAAACACACGATTGGTTTTACCGAAATATTTGCTAAGTTAATAGTAGCAGTCAAGGGGCAGTTAGCTACTTTTTGTTTGTAATTACTAGTAGATCGAGGAATGCCTTAATTTGTGCCATGGGGTTGATGAAAGTGTATTCATAATAATAAACTACCATTTTCTGGCCGGGTTAAACCTAATGCTTCCTAATTGTACTCAAACCTTGTAGCGTTGGGTGTAGGTTTTGATCTGGCTAGTCATTTCCATAAAGCATGTGACGACTCCCCCGCTTTAAATAAAAACACGTGTTTGTGAGGGCAATATCACGATAAAAAGAATATCCGAACCATCAACACAGAGTATCTTGCGTAATATCCATTCTGGTAAATTAGCTGCCTATTTCGAATAGCTAAAGTTCCTTCAAAACCTTGAAAGCAATCCCAAAAGCAACAGCGGCCAAGATAGTAGTAGTGCAGCGAACGACAATTTGTTATGCGCAGTATCGTTGCGCGGTAGTTTAAATGACGTTATGCATGTGATATACCATGTAATATCCACTTGGTGGGTAATATACCATGTAATATCCATTCTTATCACATCTCACTGCTGTTACGCATGCTGTGATTGGTAGAGACTCGGTCACATGACATTGAACAAAATGAATATTACATGGTATATTGCCCGCCAAGTGGATATTTAAGCAATAACCCCCCACCGAAGGCGGGTATACCACGAGATATTGCACAATATATGGAGTGAATTGTGCAATATCAAGTGATATACCCAACTTCGGCGGGGGGTTATTGCTATTATATTATACCAGTATATTGACAATTCGATAAAACTAGTAAAAAAAAAAGTTTACTTGCATCTACTATATGGCCCTTGAACATGAATATTTATAAGAATAGTATTGGATGCATACAAAAATTACATACGCAACACAGTTCAAATTGAATATAAACTAATTTGTATTCCGCGTGAAAACGAAACGTACCCACAGTGAATAGAGCAGCGCAAACATAAAAATTAGCACAACAAAAGATGACCTTCCCGACCTTTTACTGACTACGTCAACGCTATTTGAAATACAGGGTCGTGTACAGTTTGGATCATTAAAAAAAAGGATTTTCCACGTTTTCATTCCGTTTTTTGTACAATTTGGACTGTAATTTGCCCATTGAAAGTACAGTAGTGAAATAAACCAGTTTCGTGACTCATCATACTGCTTGTAACTGTGGATATTTGACGTCCAGCGGTACTTGGCTCGACCGAAGTTTGAGACGCGGTGGTGTATCATGTACGGCGACCGGCACGGCGACCTCAGTCCCAACATCTGACCTGGATACATCTTTGGTATAGCCAAATTTTTGTGACAGTATGCATATGCCTGACAAGTTTTGTCGTTGTTCTGGGGTAAGTTTGATGTTGTAAGATCGGATTCTCTCATCGTTTTTGTGACATGTACATGATATGCCTTGTCTCAGCTCCGGCCGAATGAAAGACTTCAAGTTTGCACACCGTCGTATTAGGCACAAATCTGCAGCTTTCGAAATTACCTTCATGATCTCCTGTAATTTATTTACCCATAGTAGAGAATTACAATACCATATATCGTCGTCGAATTCTGCGTTGTGCCGTGTTCTTTGAAACAGATGACAATTACCCCGGTGCAATTTCACTGCAATTTGGTCAGCTAGAATACGAACGCCGCTACGGGACACCGTTGTTATTGGTGGCAAACATTTTTGCCTGTGACTCGTTGTTTTTTGCATTTTTGTTTGTCCTTCAATCTCTCCTAGTTGGTCACCAGTTAAACTTAAAGATCATGTTTTCTTTACGGAGAACACAGCGTTCTGACGTTCGTTTAGGCGCCGTCCCTCACGGTGCTGAGGGACGGTGGGTTAGGTTTGTGTGGCGAACGACAATCACCCAACGACCAACGCTCACAACTTGGATCTCGCCATTAACAAAAAGCAATATTATGGTTATATAATTTTTCAGATGTTTTTAATTCGTTATTTTTTTCAATATTTTTTCAAAATTCAACTACTATATTTCCCTAAAAATCAAATACTACCGGTTTTATGTATTTCCGTATTAAACCTGTAGTCAATTCATGTTCCAGGGCCACTTGGCTTAGCCGTGCATTATCAGCCAATACACTATTAATTGCATATGCGAATTTTGTGTTTGGACCAATCAAATCGATGGATTAACACCATCAATATACCATCAATATCACATAGATGACGTCACTGAAACTACTTACTGCGCATAACAAATTGTCGCTCGCTGATTTCGTTTTCGTTCGCAGTCGCTGTTATTGTTTGCCGTAATGGCTTCGGAGAGACATGTAGAACTTCAGCCTTCGAATTGGACAATATTTTGTTAGGGAATTACAGTAAAAGGACCAGGATGGCAACAAGTAAGGCCATTTCCACATTTAAACAATATCTGAGAAGCAAATTCGGATACGGCAAAGGCGCCCTGTTAACGTTTACAATAACGACGCTCGATTCTGCATTGAGAACGTTTTACGCCGAGGTACGAACGCAGAAGGGGGGAGTATACACGAAGAAATAATTACAGTCACTTAGATATGGCATACAAAGGTATTATAACCAACCTCCAATGCGCCGAAATTTTGATTTAGTTAACGGAGATGAATTTGCCGGTAGCCGAAAGATGTTTGTAGCTGTAAGTAAGCAGCTTACAAGTCAAGGCAAACTTGAAGGGAACGGCGGGTACATTACGCAGGTCGGATCGCATCGGGTCGGGTCAGGTCGTCGGGTCGGATCACAATTTAGGTTGCAGATAATCCAATTTTTGCCAAACAACATTATATTTTCACATATTGTTTATCCGAACTGTCTATCTACCTACATTTAATTATTTTGTACGTATGTTTTGAATTTTATGAATGAAGTGGCCATTAGTCCAGTTCATTTCCACTGTACGCTGCAATGTGATCGTTGTTACTGTCATCGCCATATTGTTCCGAACACCAAAACAGCAAGATTGCCAGCTAAGTTGCTGACTGCTTTGAGGTACGCGCCTGAAGTTCGTTGTCTTACTTGATCTCTTCGGATCAAACTAACACCAAAAGGAGACGTCGCAATGATTACGAGGAACACACACAAGTCAAGTGTTCTGGAAATCAATTCAGGGATTACACCCCCAATTTAAATATTCCGTGTACGTTGCCATATATTACAATGTATGAGATATCAAAATATAAGACATTCTGTATGTACTGTGTCGAACTAAAAGCGGTAACCCCCAAATTATAATGGAACGTTCTATCTGTTGGAGTTTTGCGCGCAATTTTGTGTTTATTATTACATGTACATTGCGTTGTCCAATAAAGTGTTATCGGTAAAACGTACGTAAATTTTTTTCACGACTATTTTAATAATTGCACAATGCAAAATTCTAGGTTCGTTGATCCTACAACCCGGTCATATATAGTACGTCAGAGGCTGACTGGATTTTCGCTGCGATATTTGCCAATGAGACTAGAAGGTCGATCACTACTATACACCGTGACGGCATAGTTGAAAAACTCGGGAAACGGGATCAACTCGCGCCTCTAAGTCGACCGGTCGCTCACGTACAAAGACGATCCCCGAAGTAGTGGAATTTACTGAGTTTTTGAAGGCCAACAAATCATCTAT